TTGTGAGCCAGCTTGTTTGAATGAAAAAACAAAACAAAACATTGGAGCAGATCATGGACAGATAATGTGCATAAAAAAAACACAGAGACATTTAAACCTGACAGATATTAGGTGAAATGAAACATGTTTTCTCTTGACTTTTCTTGCTCTAAAGAAGGAGAGGAAACTGACAAGATGGAGGCTTGACGTGACAGAAAGGTGAATGCTGCACCTTTATTTAAAGCTGTCATGAAATGGCATCTTGCAGTGCTGTAAAAAAAAAAAGATTTGAACCCTTATGGGCCGAAATATTTCAGATTATAAAGGTAATTTTGTCATCAGACAAAGAAAACCTGAATAAATACAAACTGTTTTCAAGCAATGATGAACTATGAATAATAATAAAAAAAGCGATCCAAGCACTTTGCCCTAAGCCTAATAGCTGCCTCCTCTTTAAATTGTTTGAATTCAGGAAACATTGAGGGGTTGCTTCAAGCATAAACTGTCTGTTTAAGGTCATTTCAGATCAGTTCAATCAAATTAGGTCAGGGGTCTTTTCTGACCTCCTGGATGAGTTTTTAATGACATCTTTGAGTCATTTTGGGAGGTCAGCCACTTCTGGGAAGGTTCACCACTGCGCCATGTTTCTTAATTTGTAAAGAAAACAAACAAAAAAGAAACAATATTTTTGTGGTTCATTGGATCTGTCCAGACTGTTTGTCTTATTGCCTGTATCATGTGTTGTCAGACAGGTTCTATTTAAGGCATTTCTTGGTTCTGCAGGTCCGGCAGGCTTGGACTCGTTTAAATGAACTCAGCTTTCCAAAAGCGCCTGTTTGGTTAGCAACAATTTAAGTACGATTCAACCAAAGTGGGTCACCTTTTAGCTTGGTGTGGATAAAGTTTTCTTTCCTTCGTACAAAAATGTTTAGTCGGGTTATCTTTGTGTGGTGGTAAAATGTGTTTGAGGATCTGAATTATTTGAATCAGTAAAACGTCTCAGAACAACATACGTCCACATGAGGGTGACTGACAGATTGTGATGTGCAGATTTAAAGTGATGGGCGATAAGGACGGGTCTGCACCGGCAGCCGTCTGCCCTCTGATTCAGTGAGGTTATCATAAAGCCGTCAAAACAGTGACTCAGCCTAAACTCTCATAAGTAACTAAGAGTCTTCCTGGATTCATTTGTAGAAAAATGCAAAAGGGCAAATGTTACTCCAACAGACATTTATAAATAATTTTCAAATTGAGATGTAGGGATTAACACGACAAACTGTTTGTGTGATTAATTAGATTTTATTTCTTTTTCCTGCCATCAAGCTCTTTGGAAAGGGAGAGAAAAGTGAGTGAATCATTGTTTATGTTTCCCCAAGTCACTCATCCCAAAGAACAGATGACTTTTTTCTGCTTCTATAGCTTCAATAAAGTATGAAAACTGTCAAAACACGTCAGAAGCAGAATACTTCTCTGAGGGGCTTGTAAAACTGCACATTCAACAAAAGCGCCAACGTTTTAACACTTAAAAGAACAGAGGTAAAACTGCTGCAGTAAAATCTTCTTTACCAAGAGCTTTTAGGTTGGTCACCAGTTTCACATGAAGGCAAAAATAAAGGAATTACAGTTTTAACAGCAGAAAAAGGGGTCATATTTCATTCAACGCGTACGGAACAAAAACTGTGTTCATCACCGGCGGGTATTTATAACAACTGTTGTGGAAATCTAATAAAATGGCACTAAAGGGATATTTCCATGATGCTGACCTGAACGTTTTTTCTCCAGAAGTAAATTACCCTCAACCTTAAATCTCCCAGGGGTTGTTAACTCTAAACGTTGTCCTATTTGATCCTTGGGTAGACCAAGGACTAAAAAAAGTTTCCTGCATGGACTTGTGTAAAAAAAAAACAAAAAAAAGAACTTGTGATTTATTGTGAGCAATATAACCGATTCGTTCATGTCTTCTATCTATAGCTTTGGCAAATTCACTCCAAGCTTCTCGCAATGGAATAAAACTTAAAAATGTTTTCAAACTAACATGAAATTAATTTGCTACATTAACAGATGTTTTATGAAATTCAACCAACATGAACCAAAATTATTGCAAAATTGCTCTACATTCCAGGGGCGTTGTGGAGGTTTCTTTGCAACTCTGCGAATAAATGCTGTTCGACATTCTCACAACGTCTTCAGTCCCCTGAAAAGGTTTAAACTGGGATGAATGCAAAAATAAAATTAAAAAAAAAATTCTGAGAATATTGTTTCAGTCCAAAATACTGAATGGTCTGAATCCAAAATGCTGTGGTTGGTTGATTCAGGATGATCCAAAAAGTACGTCTAGTGACCTCCCTACCAGAGCCATTTTCTGGGATAAAATTACAAACAAATCATTTTTACTCCATAGATGCTGCGGAAAAGAACATCTGCAGAAAAGTAGCACTAGAAAAATGCCTAGTGCTACTCCAACAGAGTAGCACTAGGCATCACATATGTGATGCAATGCACATCACATATGTGCATTGCATTTCCAGAATGTACAGATTATTCATCTTTAAGGAATTACCAAACATTACTGTTCGATGTAATCTGATCTACAGCTAAGTCAAGTTGCCTCTTTTATAATTTAACTCAGAGAAACCTAAATCAGTTTTAAATAGGTGCTACTGCTACAAAATGTATGAAAATGCTGCAAAAATGTCATAGCATTAACACAATGATACTACACAATCCCATGTTGTTTTTAAATGATTCTTTGTGCCCAATAAACCTAATATCTAGTTTTGCCATCACCCTTGGTAGGAACAACCGGATGTAACTGATTACTGTATTTTCCAGACTATAGAGCGCACCTACAAAGCTTTTGAAAAAAACTGGAAACGTACACATATATGCCTCACCAGGCTATAAGCCGCTGGTATCTCAGCCACTCTTGGTTTTCCATAAAGACCTAATAAATCTGCTGGATTTATTAAGGACGCAGCCCTCCGTCTCCATAGCCGAACCATAGTTTCGTTCACGCCGAGTTTACGTGCAGCGGCTCCATTTCCCTCCTGTTCTGCCAGATCGATAACCTTCAACTTAAAAGCTGCATCTTATGAGTTTGAATAAATTTCTCCATCCTGCCTGCTGCTAGTATGCGCTTGTTCTAAATGAAAATCAGCGCTTTCTTCTTTGATTTCCAGTTTTGACTTCCAATGATTCACTTCCTGCTAAAGCGCCCCCTGGTGGTTGAAGAAAAATACGCAGAAAAGCCGCACCTGGTTATAAGCTACATGGTTCAAAGCCTGGGGGAAAAAGTAGTGGCTTATTAGTCCGAAAAATTCGGTACATCATATTAGATTAATTTTGGACAAGTTTTCTCATTTTAATACAGCCAAACTAAAAGGTATTCAAGCATGACTTCTTATTCATATTCAACTGCATCTCACTCAGATCTAAGTTCAGTTTTAATTAGACTACTCCAAGCCAAAACTTTATAAATAAAATTTTAAGAAAACTATGCTGGTCATGCTGCAGAACCCAAGTCCTTGATCTCACTGTCACAAACCCACAACCAGATACTCTCTTTCAGGATCTTCCCTGTTTGACAGCAGAATTCATGGTTCCATCAATGACGGCAAGTCGTCCCAAGTCCTGAAGCAGCAAACCAGCTGCAAAACAAGGCAACCATATTTAAATATCATGTGCATGATGTTCTTTTCTGAAAGGCTGTTAGTTTTAACGACACACACCTTTTAAGAAACTACTTTTGCCTCGTAAACCCACAGAACATTTTCCAAAAAGTTTCTGGAATCATGAAGATGATTTTTTATTTATTTTTTTGCAAATGTGAGAAGGATCTTTGTGTTCCTTTCTCCCTGCTGCTGTTTTCCCCTTGGTACTCTCCCTGGGATGCTCTTCTTATCCCGCCTCTCTCTCTATTGAGTCATGAACAATGACCTGAACTGGGGCAACGGAGGCCTGGACTTCTTCAGAAGATGCCACTGTTGTTCCAAGTTTTCTGCAGTAGAGGAAAATTGCACTGATTGTGGTTCTAAAATCCTTAAATGTGATTTTTTTTTTTTTAGTATTTTTGACACTGATGGGTATTCACTCCTTTGGTTTTCTTTTGCTCTTGAATTTCTTTAGATCATAAGATGGTGTGTTGTTTTTTTGAGGTCCTTTGGCCTACTTCATGTTGTCAGACAGGTGCTAGTTACACGACTCTTATTGCACAGGACAAGCAGTAATCAGGCTACCACTAGCCAATGAAATTAAACTTATTTCATGATGTATCACAGTGACAGCTTCAAATAAGACAATGTTGGTTTCGGTAGAATGAATTAAATCATTACTTGAAAACTACATTCTGTATTTCCTCAGCTTACCTTTGTCTGAACCATTTAAGCTGAAACAAAATGCAGATTCCTTTTTACTGCACAGTATAGAAAAACACCCTCCAACCCAATGCGCAAGCAAAATCTCTCTTCATGTTTGTAGCTCTGCAAAAAAAAGCACTTGTAAAGACACCACTGTGTGTGGCGAGACAAGAAAGAAAGAGTGTGTTAGCAGCTTAAGGAAGCTGGAAATAAACGGGCATCTTTCTAGAAAATGCTGAAACTCCGTCACCACCTTATATTTTGATCAGAATGTGAATGTGATTGATTTGGCCGCCCACCAATGCCGCGCATCGCGATATCAACGGTTATTTTATTCTATTTTATAGAACAGTGTCACTACAAAACAAGCTGATGTGCGGCAGCATTTTTATTTTCTTGGTTCAGCTGAATTTGTTTGTTTTCTGAAGGCTGTGGTGCTTCATTTAGTCACAAGGAAACACTCATGGTTTTTGGCACTTTTAAAATAAAAAGGTTTAAAGGATGACTTTGCTTTAACCCCCTTAGTCCTTCGCAGGATGTGGGACATCTTCATACAGGTAACTGTCAGACTAAAAAAAACAAGTGGTTTATTTTTTTTTAAGAATAGAATAACAATATTTAGTTATAATAATCAAACGGAGGACAGAAATGTATAAAAAAAAATGAACCGCACAATGATAAATGACTGGAAATACTGCATAGTACAAATGCCCCGTAGCTGTTTTTGTCTGCCCTGCTTCACAGGGTACAAAGGGCCTCCAGGGACAGACCGCAATGAGACACGCTCATCAGTTCTCTTTCCTCTGACCAAGGAAAACAGAAATCATCCAAAAACATTTCAAAATCTAACTTTAGGCTGTTGCTTCAAGGGCAAAACAAAGTCTGCAGCGCCATCCTGCTTTTCAAGAACAAGCTCAGAATGGCTGGATAAAAATACCACGCGGTCTTTGATCCCTGGAAAAAAGAGAGAGAGGTGTCTGTCGGAAAAGTCAGTCTTGCTGGATTTTCCTAGTGTTATTCAGGTTCGCTGCTATTTGTGGTTTTGTCCCACTCTATGCTCTCCTCGCTGTGCGTGGGAGAGGGAAGGGCCTCGCCGGCCCCGGCGGGACGCATCCGGAGTCCCTGGAAGCGTCTGCACTCGGGGCAGATCCGGATGTGGCTGCAGCCCCTCGCCACCAGGGCGGCCTCCTGCGCCAGTCTGTGGGAGAGCGGCTCGGGCAGGCCGGTGCCCGCGCACAGTTTGCCGTTGCTGAGGCTGACGGCGGCGGCTCGCGCTCGACGTTCCTCCAGGGGCAGAGGCCGCGGCCGCATCAGCGACGCCGCCCGCCGGCGCCTCACCTGCAGGCTGTCCCGACACAACACGATCCCGTGGAGCTCCCGCAGCATCTCCTCACACACCGACTGCTGCGTGCGCACACGAGGAGGGGAGGGAGGAAAAATAAGAGAAGAGGATAGAGAGGGGGGGGGATAAGAGAGAAGAAGAGAAATGGAGAGAGGCCAGACAAGTCACTGACTGACTGACTCGGTAAGGACAGACTGACGGACGTCACGGACACACAGAACACACACAGGTTTCATGGTTATCTTTATGACCGGTTAGCAGCAACAAATACAAAGAATCACAACACGTTTGAACCACGTTAATATGATAGCATCACTTCTAACATGCGCACATGAAGACACGTCAGTGATAGTTCTCCACCAGTTTGGGGCATTGGACTTTCTTTTTTTTTAAACATTTAGCATTAACCTAAAACTTCAAAATATTTTATTAGAATTTCATGTGGTAGACAGGACGCACAAATTTATTTTGCAAACATCAAAGGGCAATTTTCTTTAGCATTGTGATACGAAAATCTGAGAAAAATCCCAAAGGACGTGCAGCTGCTGTTGCATCAGAAGCGCTGAGCGATTAGGACTAAACATAAACACATCAAACATTTGTTTTCTATATATTGCAATCTGTAGAAGCTGTTATTCCTCTTCACTTCAGTTTTAAATCCACTTTACTACTAAATGCTGGTTTCTGTTGTTCTATCCGCTTAAATCCCAATAAAACACAGTAAAGTTTATGGTTGATACTTGAGAAAAATCCAAGAAGTACAGAGAGTTTTATAAAGTTGCACAGAGCGAATGCAAAGGTTTCCGGGCAAAGGAACAGACGTAGAACTGCATGCAGGTCTGAGTCCATTAACACTTCAAGGCACAAATGATTCACATTTGGAAATGAATGTTTTCCAAGCCTCTTTCCAGATTAAGCTGCAAATAAGCTTCTAAGGTCAGAAGTATAATTTAGATTTATCCTCCCAAACATGAGGAAATGCTTTATCACTGTACACTTTAAAAATATTCCTTAACCTGTGCTGACAGCCGATTATTAATGCAATGAACCGGGAGCTCAGAGGGGAAGAATAGATGCTACGCGCTAATGCAAAACCTCACGGCCCTTCTCAGGGGAAGGAAGCAAAGTATGTCGAGGTCAAATATGCTTTTCCCACCTCATTTCCTGGGGCTTGTTTTAACATCCAAACAAACTCCAGCACAGCCATGAAGATCGCCACCAGCAGGCCGCACACGAGCACCACGAAGATCCCGCCGATGTTCTCCATACCCAGACCTGAGGAAAGGGCAAAGGTCAAGGAAATGAGGGAACGAAGAAGCAAACGGCGATTGATTACGCCGAGGATTGCCCTCAAACCTTTGGCCCGGTGGTCCTCCTCCTTTGGACACTTGCCGCCCTCCCACCAAAACCTCTTGAGAATCTCCAAACGATTGTCCTCCTGAAGTTTGAGGATGGCGAGGTCAAACTCGTCGCGGTACACCGACCCTAAAGGGAGGAGAAAAGTTTTCTTACGCCGGATGCTTAAAAGTTTCCGAAACCTGCAGAACTTTACGATACAGAACATAATCATATTTTCACACGAGCCTATATCTGTGTGGCTGAAGCTGGTTTGGCAGTTAATTTGAAGATAAAATCAGAGGCAGGCCTTTTGACTGAACAATCCTGCGTCGGCCCCCGTTTTTTTTTTCTTTTTTTTTTTTTTCTGAAGGCTCACTGTAGCAACGGCACTCACACCTAGTGGCATAAATTTCAGATTGCAATCAGCTGATTATGCCGCGCCTCTCCTACTCCTTCAGCTGAAAGGGAGAAGGTCCTTTCTGGAGCAGCAGAATAGCAGATTGCAAAGAGGAGAACTCAATGCATCTTCCACTCGTAGTTTGTACGTCAGAAAACCCTGACAAACTTAATTGATTTCATTATCCCATTCATTTTTCTGCTGATGCAAACTAGATATTTACATACCCTTTAATAGACAGATATTTTATTTGCCGTCTGAAATTAAATCAGAGTTGTAAAACTGTAATCGCTACTTTGATGATCTGTAAAAGCCATCATTTTCACCCTTTACATCTATGTTCGCAGTAGAAGGCGCTCCGCTGCTGGCTAACATTCCCGTCTGTCTTTGCTACATCGGCTGCTCTTTGTGCTGTTCTCAGACAGCTGTCCGTTTGCCGTGCAGAGCAAAACTAAAACTTTCATTATTAAACATAGAGTTTTAAATGTTTTTAAACAAAAATGCTAAGCTTATCCTCACACAGCTAACTGGAATGACACTGAAATATGCTACAAGGAGAGAAAAGTGTTGTTAGCCTAACAATTTGGCAAACTGAGTTGCATGAAACTTTGTGAGCAGGAGGAAGGCATGAGTTGACTAAAGACTCTCAGTCCTAAATGTGGTCAAGCCTTCATCTGCGAATGCTTCCCAATCTGAAACCCTTAAGTAGTTTCACCAAACGCATAACATCTTGCTGCTCAGACTCATTTTGTCCACGTCCAAATTGGTCATGATGGATGCATAATGTCTTGTTTATGTATTTAAATGGAAAGAAATTACAGAAATGTGTAAATAGATTGGTATTCTACCATCCAAACAAACTCCAGTAGGCTGGTCTCCAGCACCAAGAGACGCCTGATTATGTTACACAGACTGACTGGGGAAACATCATCATCCGTCTCAACCTTAAACTTGTTAAAATGCAGCATGTTAAAGCAGACGTGAAGAAGCTCTTCTTATTGGGACAAGAATATCTGACATCAGAGTCGTGTAAAATCACATTACTCTACTGGACTTTGAGTTCAGGCCTATACTTGATATTTTACTAGTTTTAACAGGAATGGGATTCAATATCACCGAATTCTTGGTCCTAAAAACTTTAACTAGTATCTGGTTAAAAAATCTTGAGTAGGACATCACTAATGAGAAGACTTACTTATTATGTGCACATCCAACGTCACAAAAAGGATGCAGATTAAAACACTTGCATACCTTTTATAAATGAACTATTTTTAAGTATTTCTACTTTTGTATCTTCTGCAGAGTTACTGGTACTGATACTAGGATTTGGTTTTTTCACAGGTTTTGCATATGACGGGATGTTTGTGCTGTTCTTTTTTTAAAACTGGCACCTTTCATTTATCTTCATTAGTGTTTTCCTCCTTAACTTGCACTATTTGCATTCCTGCTTAATGGTTCCAATTTGTATATTGTATTTTAATAGCACCTGCCCCAGGGCTAATGATGGAAATCAGACTCGGATCAGAGTCTGATCTAAAGAGCGTCTTGTCTTTAGAGTTCGGTGTGAAACATGAATGTTGAATTCAGAAGGAACGGCTCAGATTTAAGATCAAATACCTCAAATTGATTTCACAGGACATGTCCAGTGTCAGGCGTAAAACATAATCCACAGAAAAATTTAATTTTTATCTTGTAAACATCAAAGGATTTCAAATCTTATTTACTGAAGACGTATTCTTCCTCATGCCGCAGGAGATCAAAGTATCGTATCTAAATTCTCAGGAACATTTCTCAGGATACTTTAAACTCCCTCTCTGTCTCATCTTAGCAAAGAAATGGTTCTGTAAAAGCCCTGCTGAAAGTCTCGCTAGTTTCTCACTTTTTGCATCACTTTGTCCAAATAATAGGAGCCGATTGTTTGGCTATGCAGGGGCTTTACTTTTCAATTTAACCCTCCGATGCAACGCTTATGGTCCATTCTTCAACTAATGCTCCTATTCTTCCTTTTCCTTTTCTAGGCTTCACACTGAATTATACAGCACATTTAGGTGAAACCATCAGCCCCGGCCTCTGAAGTTGTCATTTTTACGCCAGGCCTCTTTTCTCCTTTTGCTCCACCAATAAACGTTGGCTCGCTCTCATCCGTAATTCCTCTCCCTCTCGCCATTCCCCGCTCACCCAGTGGCATGCCGATGCCGTAGCCCTTGGTGTCGAGCAGTCCTCCGATTTGAGTCAGGTTGCAGTTCCTCTGGCGGTAGTACTCGTTCATGGTGCTCTCCAGTAAGTAGGCGTAGTTGGAGTTCAGGACCCGGGCGATGCCCTCCTCAGTGCTCTTCACGAACACACTGGGCTGCTTGGAGTTCATGAAGTTCCACATGCGTTGGTAGGTCTGGTAGCGGGAGTTCTGCAGGGCGGCACGAGGGAGAGATCGGATCAGAACAAACAAACAGTCGGCTGCAAGAAGTCGGGCGGCAGAGGTTTATTAGTTGCAGATAAACATTTTCTGCCTTTGCTGATGTGAAGATGAGTTGTTATTTGTTTTCCCCTTTTCATTTTCTTGACTGATGGATTTATTCAAACTCCGATTCAGTGATTCTGCTTCGTCTGCTGCTTTTTTTTTCCCCCCCCATTTGGCCGCATACGAGTTTCAATTTGAGTATCTACACATTTTAGACCAAAGACTTCAAATGATATCGCTGCCTTTCTTGCATGTGCTCTTGGCCAGTTTTCCCTGAGCTATTCAGGGTCCACTAAGTGTAAAAGCATCAAGGAGAGTCGGACTAATGTCTCCTTTCTCCTCTGTAACACCGTCCTTCACTGTCACTGTCTTTTTCTGTCTCTCTCTGAGGTCAAATATGCAGCAGATGAAAGAGGCTGGAATGGGATTTGGACAGCTGACTGACTCCTTGAGGAGGAGGATATTGGATGGCGGAGCGGGCAGGCAGGACAGAAATAAAACTTACGGTGAAAGGAGAAAGACAAGCAGGCGATAAGGAGGATCCCAACACTTACTGTCTGACTTATCGATCACAAGAGTTTTGGAAGTCAGAGCAAACGCAAAGTTAACATGGCAAGTTCACATCTAGTTTTCCTGTTTCAGATCTTACAGTTAATGCTGGTTATTCGTTATTTATTGGGTATGTAGATAAGAAAGCAAAGAACAAATAAAACAAGAATTCAAATTTGAACTTATTGTGGATTTTCTCAACGGACGCCAAGTGAAAATACGCATGTAGAAGAAACAAATACACACATACACACCCGCGGAGTATTTAGATAAAACTGAGCGCTCCGCAGCAACATTGTTTTTGCAGCTGTCAATCGATATGAACTAAATGTTTCACTATTGGTTTGTTCTGGCAAAATTACTATTTTTAAGAGTAGTAATTAGATTTAAATTGAGCTTGAAGATGTAAGATTTGGTACAGGGTTTTTTTTTTTCCTTCGCTGTGGACAGATTCACTGGTTTTCCATCAGCTTCCAGTTGATCCTTAGTGATTCCTGGGATGTCTTTAATTTCCCATCTATTTTCCTCCAATCTATGCAATATGACTTGGATATGGTTGAAACTTCTGTGTAACTTAATGTTCCAACATGACGATGATACAAAATAGATCAATAAATTAACGGTAAAATTTGGCACGACCTTCTGAAGTCACTGAATTCGACTGTGCGGAAAGTATCTGAACTTGCTTAAAGATACGTTTGCGAAATCCGTCAATTTGATGGGCGGCAGAAAATCCACCAGTAATTCACACAGGAACTTGTGCGCCTAATTATTTATTACCTTTAAAAAATCTTTGAAATTGTAAGTTGGGTAAGATATCCACAACAAGAAAGAAACCGCTCAAAATGAAAAGCAACCACATTAGGATGAGACTGATGCACATAGTTTCGACTGGAAACTACGAGTTAAGAAGAAAAGCCACTGGAATATGAGCTCCCACCATAAAGAAAGTCATAGTGGATCCTCCATGCATGGTGCCGTACTCTATCGCTGTCTGATCCGCCAGGTCGTCCACCGACTCTATTGGCATCTCCATCCTTTGAACAGTCAGGAAGGCGGCCAAGTTGGCGGTGTACGAGGAGATGATGATTAATGTGAAGGCCCACCTGTGGAGGAGGGCAGAGATAAAGAACATATGTATCCATCTATGAATGTATGCAAAAGCAGACTCCTGTATGAAGATGAATTATCGTGGCGAAAGCGTGGGAAGATTAAAACAACTCCACACCTGAGAGGAGAAAACACGGCAGGAGGTTTCAGCTGGACGGATGGAGGGGGTCGGTGGAAATGGATGGAGAAATGGGGCGACGGTTGGTTAGGATGCAAAAGCAGACATGAAAAGAAAGACGGAGTCTCAAATGCATAAGAGATTTTTGAAAACTGACATCCTGAAACTCTGGAGTAACGACACCAGAGCCGCCCCAAATCAGAGAAAAATGTTTGAAACAAACAGAAATGAAAACGGGAAACAACACAAGTTATTTCACTTTGTTAGGAAACTAGAGAATTTAAATTTTTGTTATATGTGACACAAATTGAACAAACTGGATTGTTTAACTGTCATTGCAAACTGTAGATTTAGTTTAACTGTCCTTCAGTTCAGTTCCCCTCGTGTCAACAGCCAGTTTAAAAGACAGACACAGAAATATACGATCTAATAAAGTAGTTCACACCAATACAGCATGCTCATACAGACAAGGTTCAGTGATGAACAGTTCAATTTTTCAGAGGTTTTCAAATCCAGTAAGTGTGAAACGTCACCACTTTACCAGGAACAGGATGTTACTCAGTCATTCATCGTCAATGCAGCTGCAGAAGCTATTTGCAAGTGCTCGCTGTGTAACACATGTGATAACAACGTCCTACATTTTTATCACCCCAAAACTTTTTTTTTTTGTTTTGAACAGTTCCAAATAGTTCATGTATGTCGAAAACTTTGATGCTTCTGAAGGAAGCTGAAAATGAAATTCATTTCACAGCACAACCAAAATGAAGCATCCAGTCCACCAGAAGGATGGCTTCGTCAAAAGCAGAATAATGTTTCCGAATCCCTCAGCGAGACTCCAGACCTGAATCTGATTGAAAAGCTGTGGTGTGATCTGAGAGGGCGGCGCAGGAGATCTGACAGAGGAGGATCAGAAAAGATTGCCGAGTCAAGATGTGGCATGCAGATAGAGTCCTACCCAACAAGGCTGAAGGCTCATGATAAAATCAAAAAGTGCTTCAACAAATAAGACTGCATATGCAAGCACATTATTGCAGCATATTTTCTAAGTTTCCTCTCCAGACATACTGCAGCTTTTCATCCTCTTAAGATGTAGAAGTTGTAGATCATATTATAAATTATAAAATGTCTGAAATTATTTGTTATATTATAGAAACCTGGGATTTCAACAGGGATGAATGGACTTTTTATATCTAAGATTCTTCTTTTCCTGGTTGGTTGATCAGGAAAAGAAGAATGATTTCATTCATTTACTTGAAATGTATTCACGTGTAATTGTATTTATTTATATTTTCATGTGTATGCACTGCAGTATTCTACAGTGAATAAATCCATTTGCATTTTAGTAATGTTAATGCTTTTTTGTGCCTCTACCACACCCTTTATATTATTGTTCATGTTTCACTCACTTTTAACTGTACCAGTACCATATAATGTCCCACCTTTCTTAAATAAAAACACTATTAGTTTACTTCCAAGAGAAGCTTTTATTCCTGGTTCGTTTCTGTAATATGTTTGTGCAAATTTATTGTACCTGGTTTCCCAGGTCATTGTTTTATGTATCTGCTTTATGTGGTGCGTCACAAAAATATTCCAACGTCAAACAACTTTTTTGTGTTTTGGTACTTTACGAAGTTCAATTAGTTTTATTTGAATTCTACTTGGTGTCGATAATAAAACTCACATTCTTCCAGAAATCAGCCGCTTAGTAAAGAGAGTGCACCTGTGCAGTCGCAGGTGGTTTACTTCAGTGTGCTAAATACAAATGCATGTCACACTTTTCAGGTTTTATTTACAAAACATTCACAAAAAAATGTGAATTTTTTTTCCTGCCATTTCACAAATATGTATTTTGTGTTGTTATGATGAAAATCCCCCCAAAATCATGAGGTTTTTTTGGTAATAATGCGTCTGTAAAAACAAGGTTAATGGAATAAGATACCTGGGGTATTTATTTGATCCTCTGGTTTTTTCTGAACACTTCAGTTCAGGTCTTAAGTTCTGTTTCAGTATTACGGCCATCATTAAAATAAATAATCAGGTGCTGGTAAAGCATTTTTGAAGACACGGTTGCATGTTTTTTTTTTTTTTTTTTAAAAGTAGAACTACAACAATCACTGTTCTTGAAGTGGTGGCAAGGGCAAACAAAAGATGAAATGCAATTCATGTTGCAGCAAAAGTAGGTCAGAGCAGAGCTGAACGCGCGTTAGGTTTGTGGATTTGAAAGCTGGAAAAAAATTGCCAGTACTAACCACACTCCGCTGACGCAACGTGTTGACAATGCTCTGGGAGCGATGGTGGATCCCTGCTGCATGAATCCGCCGACAGGGAACCAGAAGCTGTTGCCGAGCGAGTACTGGTTGATCAACAAGTTGCAGCGTCCCTTCAGACAGGGGTGGGGGTTGTACCATTCGTACGGCGTCAGTCTGCAGGGGAACAGGAGAAGCTGGAGGTTACATAAACATTCAGAGTCTGGAGGAATGAATCAGAGAGAATAAACCCAAGAGCCGCACAGATTTTGAGACATAAAGAGGAGCAAACGACAAGGAGCAAAGAGATTGGAGCAACAAAGTGAGCACAAAGTCGCCTTGGCTCTCCAGAGAGACAAACAGCTTTCCTTTCAGTCCCCACAGTGCAGCTCGCTTTAATCACAGGGAAACAGGCTGTGAATTTTGAATACACAATGCAACATGGGAAAAATCGGTTGTGTGCAACACTGAGAGATTAGATTATTTGCAGATATCTTGCTCAAATTTGAACTACTGTGTGATTCGTCTCCAAAACAACTAAATTAGGAAGCTATATGGAAGACCTCTGAGGTTATTTTATAATTCGTGCTCCATATCATCAACCGAGAGCTGCCCAAAGGTTTTATGTGCCAGCTGATCTGGGATCACTTACACTTATCCTGCAGCTTGTTATTCAAATATAAGTTACACTTCTTTTGTTACCAGATTGCCTCTTTTAATATTTATTGGTGAACTTTCTGTTTGGCTACTGCTGCTGGATACCAAATTCCCAAGACATTTATAAGGTTCAATCTAATCTCATCCCAACGTTTCAGCAGCAGATCTACCAGTACTCTCCCTGGCCAGCAGGTGGCAGTGTGGTTCTAACGACCCACCGCTTAGAGCAGAGTGTTTCCTTTCCCTGTGGTGTTGCAGATCAACCACAAAAACTTAAAAGAAGTGAGGGAACAGACACCTGTTTCCTGTTCTGCGTATCCCCCAAACAACTCTTCTTCTTTTTGTTTTTAATCTCTGTAGTCAACCCTTTGTTCTCCTCTCGTCCTTTAGTCTCATTCTCCTCTGTAAAGATCAAGCTTACCCTTACCTGGCCACTAGAAAGAGGACGCAGCTGACGGCCAAATAGGCCAGAAGCATGAAGAGCCAGACGCCAGGGGAGAAGGGATCTAGGAAGGAGAAGTAGCCCGGCCGACGTCCCTGAAACACAACACACACAAATAACTGTGTAATGCTTACAGCAATATTACCGCAACTCCTCAGATTTAACAACAAACCTCTCTGAATGTAAAATCCAGCTTTTAGCCAGACTCAAATCAATAAATTGGTTTGAGTTCAATTTGTTTTGCAAAGAAGAATTGACAAAGCTGTGGAAAGTTCAGAGACACACCGTGAAAGACTTGCAGCTGTAAACGCAACAAAAGGTGATTCTCCTTATTAAAAGGACGGACATAAATTCACAGGACTGTTAATAATAATAAAAAAAACCTTTTAAATTCATGTTATTGTAATCACACTTGAAAACTGTACTATTCTCTCTTGAGCCATCAAATAAAATCCCAACAGCACAGTGAAGTTTGTGACAGCAACATGGAAAAAAAAAAATGTCGAGACGTTCAAAACGAGTATAAATACTAAAACGGTGCAGACGGAGCAAAAAGTGAACTAATTGGCATTTTCAAGTGTCTCTCCTGTTCAACCAGAAGAGCGCCGACTCCCTCGCTTGAGGCCGGTTTAGTCTGCGTAGCTAACATTAGCTGCTCCCTGCTTTGCTTTGGAGAAGGCAGAAAAAGGTGACTCCTACCGTAAATAAAGTGATTTCAATGCGATAAGCGCAGATCTTCCTGTCCTAAACAGATAGCACTGTAATTATGTGTATCTCATTTGCATGTATGAAAGCACAAACTCAGCCTCCCATGAAATGTCAACAGAGTGGCACAGAGCTGCAAAGTGATACACCAACAGAGATAAGAGGCTTTGCTTCCCAGAATCGGCTGCTTTAAAAAAAAAAGCACTTTTGCCTTGCAAAAATATGTACACCTCATGTTAGAGCCACAGACTTCTATGCATTTTATTAAAGTTTAATGTGAAAGACCAAAACAAAGCAGTTGAGGATTAGTAAATGGAAGAGAAATGCCTCGATTTTCAACATGTACCAATAAAAAAGCTGACAGAATGTGGCTTCCATTTGTATTTAGCTCCCTCGTCTCGGAAAACCTCAGGTAAGAACCAGGGGACCCAACTAGCCCTTAAAAGTTTCTTAATTAGTTAACGGAGCCCGAATACGGCTGCTCTATAAAGCCCTCAAATATTTATGAGGTGAGATCAGCTAAGCTACTTTATGAAGGCCGGAAACACACCAGGTTAGGGCTTAAAAGCAAAGTTAGTAGATAAGACAATACTTTTGGACATTTCGTGGGACATTGTTCAGTCCATCATTCGTTAGCAGGAAGATTACGGCACAACTGCAAATACGCATTATTCAGAGAAGCAGCCGAGAGGCCCAGGGTTGCTGCAGGAGCTGCACAGATCCACAGCTCAGTGAGGATAATTTGTAAGCAGGATGAGTTTTAGTCATGGATGACTAAGGTTTTATATGTATATTTAAAACAGATGACTCTAGAAAATGAGACACCATGTCTCAGTGAGATTTACCTGTATGAAAAAAGGTGATTATAAAATATAAACATGCTCTGAAACCAGAAGAGAGGCAAGAGGAAAATCATTGCTGAGGGGAAGGCATGAGGATTTGTGTCGAAAAACTGCAGTAAGTCGTGTAGAGGACAGTGCAAGTGTGTGGAAGAGACAAAAATTGAATTTTTTGGCAAGCAAGACACGGCGTGTGCAGGAGCACTGTAAGACAGAGAGATGGTGGCGTCATGCTGTGGGAACGCTGAAAAGAAAAATGAGCAAAACTTTCAGTACCAAGCACCGACACACAAAATGTGGCTCAAGTATTGACTTGATAGAAATCAAATACATATTGTGTTCTTCAAATCTATATTCATCAGAAATGATGAAATCTGATTTTTTTTCATACCTCTTCATAATTACTGAGTACTTGAACAAAAGGAAACATAAACTGTTGTTTGTAATTCATGCATTTGGTGCAGTTTGCTTTACACTGAAACTACTTGATACAGTCTAAGGTCCAACCATAAAAACCAAGTGGAGGTCAGAACGATTAAATAAAGTTCAGTCAACAGGCAGTATTTGGTCTTCCTAGAAGGTAACATGCATTACAGATAATCAACTGAACCATTATGGCTGCATTAAGCATAAATTCATTTCCATGACCTATACTTGACTTCCAGCAGGCCTGGGGTGAACAGCAGCCACGTTCAGAGGGGAAAAAAAAGGGAAGAAGATTAATAGCTCTGACTCGGGCAATAAGGCTAGCAGTGCCGAAGCAGCTACAGGGCTGCTATATATCTGTTTGGATTGGTTAGCGGGATATAAAGTAGCTAAAATAAGGTCGGCAGTCAGCGGACCAGTGGGAAACCAGGGGCTAATTTCTAATGTTTCATTATCCATCGCCAGCAGCTTTTGTCCTCTAAATGAAACCAATTACAGATGAACCGGCGTCAGAACGCGTCCGCATACATATTCATACGAGTTTGTGAACGCTCACACTGTATTTCTCTCCTGCAAATTCACTAAGAGAACATTAGCCGTTTACACACAGCCGCACAATCCACCATCTGCTAACGACCGGGAAATGGACGTGGCTGTCGGGGCAGGGAGGGCGCTCAGAGAGCGGAGGTGATCGAGAAACTTGACTGCCTGAGCGCTATTAGAAGACAAAGGCATAACACGTCGCGTAGAAATTGCTTATCCTCCATTTCAGAAACACTCTAGAGCCCACGTGAACAAGCCTAAATCACTTTTATGGAAATATACTCAATTAAGTGTTCCTAGGAGACCTCACGCAAGCTGGAACAAAATATTGATAGATTTCTGAGGCCCTTCAAAATCAAATCTGAGGCAAAGAGGGGAGTGGAATTATTTCGTTGGGCGTTTGTTATGCTAAAAGACACGTGCAGAGACGGAAGAAACTCATTAATGCGACCGTAATCACTTGCGTTTGAGCCTGGTTACGGAAATCGGGGGCAAAGAGTGGGATTCACTAACACTTTGAACAAGATTCAAATCAGTGTGCCAGTCACAATGCGCACCGTTCCATCTGCAAGGGGTAAATGCTTGTGACGATAATGATGATAGTGGTTTGGAAACAGACGAGCAGAGAGCTGAAGCACACAATGGCCTTCTTGAAGGTAAGAGTGCTGCTGCAGGGAGAGAGATGCTGCCAAGTCGCCTTCAGCTGGCACCAGGGGTTGTGCTGACGTGAGTCTTCCTGTTTGCTCGTTCGGTTTGGTGCATGCTGAAGAGGCGCTTTGCGAACTGCTGGCCCCTGCGTGCCCGCGTCTTAAGTTCCCACCAAGGTGCTGTTACTACACTAAAACGGAGCCGAGGAGGTGAGGGACTCCCGTGCTAACAGATGGCAGAGAGAGGGTGCCGGAGAGATAGAGGACAGGCAGGGAGAGGCGGGAAAGAGGCAGAGATTACAAGGACAAAAGGGAAAACAGCTGGAGACTGTGCTGCTCAGGAAATCTCGATTTTTGTGCGCTAAAATGTTTGCTTTAGGACTCAAACAAAGTTGTGTTTTTCCAAGGGCTGAATGGGATCATCCAAAGTGAGGCAGAAGCAGACGCACTAATGAGCACTCTGTGGAAACTGCATGAAATGTTCCTCTTTTCAAAAGCATGTCATGAGTTGTTTCCTCAGGAGACATTTTCTCCTTTAAATATCCCATTTTGCGAACACTTAAGTAAACTGGGAAAGGAGAAAGAAACTTTGTGCTTTGATAGTTTTGGTTCGCTCTTTGTGCTCTTCAAAGACTTTTTTTTTTTTCCTCTCCACTCCAGTTCTGATAAAATAACTCTGCACTCAGCACCAAACAGCAGAGGCACCAGCATAGTGACTGGCTCAAGAAGGCAGCAGGACATTTTGAAGCAGAGTGGTCAAATTTAGTTCAGACTAAAATCGATAAAAGAAGGAGAGCTGGAGAGACTGACGGGAGTTTAGAAAGAGACCAATCTCATCTGTTTGGTTGCAATTTCAGCTGCAAAATGTCAGAAGATTCACCGATTAATATCAGAGGCACTTGGACGAACTCGGAACAAAAGGAAACCTCAAACAGTAGACTTTTAAGGACTGGAACATGTTTGTGATCTGATGTCAGCTGTAAGCAGGGATATCCGGTTTTCAAGTTGCAGGAAAGACAAGTGGAAGCATCAAATAAAACAGAGTCTAATACAAAATTAGACCCTCTGCATGTGCAGCAGTTCATATCTAAACGGTTATTTTGTGAAAACTCAATCCAATTTAATCTAAGACTCCACTTTTGAGTGAAATCAAAGTCAGAAATACTTTATTCATTTCACACTGAAATAAAATATTGTTGCAAAACAAATCATCCATCTTCCTCACTGCACGTTATGACTTTTTATTTTTGTACTTTTATGATGTAAAGAACTTTGAACTGCCTCGTTGATGAAATGTGCTACACAAATAAACATGATTGATTGATAGATATTAAAGTGGATCCAAAGAGAACTGTTGTTGCGTTGCTGTTATTTTTAGAGGCAGCATAAAACTTAAAACTGAGGTACAGGAAACATCTCCAGTTCCTGAGAACTACGGCAACCTTTAGTTGCAGAGAGGCTCCTACAAACCTAAATCAAAGACTCAATTACCTCATTGGGGTGTCATTAAGTTCGATTGAGACGCCTGTAAAAGTTGCCTTTTGCCAACCACAACCTGTATCAGGCAGATTATCTTATTTGCAAAGTGTTAACTCATTTTTCTTGGAATATGTATTAGCTAACAAATACTGCATTCCAAACAATGGTTGGCAATGTTAGTGATAATGTGATAAGGTTAGGGAGGGAAAAAAAAAACTTTTGAAGTTGCACAAATACTTGACAATCACTTTAAAAAATCTGATATAATTTCTGCGACAGACTGGCGACCTGTCCAGGTGAACCCCGCCTCTCGCCCGAAACGTTTGCTGGAGATAGGCACCAGCACCCCTCTTGACCCCACTAAGGGACAAGGGTGTATAGAAAATGGATGGATGGATGATATAATTTGTTATTTTACTGTTTAAAAAAAAATCTATTGCATTTTTGCCAAACTGT